GGACTGCAAGGAGATCCAACCAGTCCATCCTGAAGAAGATCAGTCCTGGGTGTTCATTGGAAGGACTGCTGCTGAAGCTGAAACTCCAATACTTTGGCCACCTGATGCGAAGAACTGACTGATTGGAAAAGACCCTGATGCTGGGAGGGATTGGGGACAGGAAGAGAAGGGGACGACAGAGGATGAGATGGCTGGATGGCATCACCAACTCGATGGACATGAGTTTGAGTAAACTCAGGGAGTTTGTGTTGGACAGGGAGGCCTGGCGTGCTGTGATTCATGGGGTCGCAAAGAGTCGGACACGACTGAGTGACTGAACTGAACTGAGGAGGTATTTATGTCACTGGATAGGATTTTTTATGATTTTGCATCTTCCTAGTGACAATAATGCAGGATAATTGGGAAAATAAAGTGACGCTGTAAATGTGTTATATGTGGCCATATTTAATAGTTCACACACGCACATGGTTACAGCAAAATTCATCCTTCAAAATAGTTTTTAGCAGCCCTGTGGTTCTATTTCATGTATTTCTGATTTTGCTGAGGTACAGACAAGAGGCTACTGTCAGGATATGAGCTCAGCAAGCAACTCACAGAGGCTACTTGATTCTATATGTCAGGCGAGTATGTTCCTTGGTTCTGTCTCATCACAACAAAGATTTGGAGTGACGGACATTAAAGTCCTCTGCGCGTCACAGCTCTCGGGTCTTGGACAAACTGTGTTATAGCTCTTAGACAAATCAGTGTTACAGCTCTATTTTATTTAGAAGATAGCAGGAGAATCCATCCTTGAAGTGTGAGGGCATGCCAACCCAAAGACATGAAGAGAAGAGAGTGGAGGAGCATGCCAGCGCTTGGGGGGGGGGGCCGGCCGGCTGGGGGGCGTGGGGCGGGCGGCACAGGGAAAGAGAAAGAGCGTGCTGGCAAATGGGGGGCGGGGGAGAGAGATAGAGTGCAGAGAGCGAGAGAGGGCTTTGGCTCCTCTTTTTATATGTTTTCCCCTCCCCCTGGGCCTGCCCTATGCAAATTGGATTAGACAGGAGTGCTGTTTGTTCTACCTGAAGTCCTCACTCTGGTCCTCGGACCTTCCTTTTACCTTCCTTTGTTCTATTTTCGCGGGTTTTTCCCTTCCTTGTCTTTTAGCCACCGCCAGTTTGGACTCCTTTTCCCTATTCTAACTACCTAACATATACATGTTCCCAGGACAGTAGTGATGAAAATTTTTTGGGTGTTGGGATCAAAAATATCCTGTAAAGAAAACTAACTATAAAAACAAAGTGGCTTAAGAAAATGTTTTTTTTAAATTGAGATATAGTTGACAATATTAGATTATGGTAATACAACATAGTGATTCAAAATTTTAATAGACTATACTCCATTTATAGTTGTAAGAAAAAGGTGTTTTTTTTAATATATATAGAAAAGAGAGTACATTACTGAGGGGAACGTTTGATTGCTGGGAGAAATATCAATAATCTCAGATATGCAGATGACACCACCCTTAGGGTAGAAAGTGAAGAAGAACTAAAGAGCCTCATGATGAAAGAGGAGAGAGAAGAAGCTGGCTTAAAGCTCAACATTCAGAAAACTAAGATCATGACATCTTGTCCCATCACTTCATGGCAAAAATAGATGGGGAAACAGTGGAAACAGTGAGAGACTTTATTTTTTGGGGCTCCAAAATCACTGCAGATAGGACTGCAGCCATGAAATTAAAAGACACTTGCTCCTTGGAAGGAATGTTATGACCAACCTAGACAGCATATTAAAAAGCAGAGACATTACTTTGTTAACAAAGGTCTGTCAAGTCAAGGCTCTGGTCTTTCCAGGAGTCATGTATGGATGTGAGAATTGGACCATAAAGAAGGCTGAGCACTGAAGAATTGATGCTTTTGAACTCTGATGCTTTTGAACTCTCAAGAGAAGATTCTTGAGAGTCCCTTGGATTGCAAGGAGATCCAACCAGTCCATCCTAAGGGAAATCAGTCTTGAATATTCATTGGGAGGACTGATGTTGAAGTTGAAATTCCAATACTTTGGCTACCCGATGCGAAGAGCTGACTCATTTGAAAAGACCCTGATGCTGGGAAAGATTGAAGGCGGGAGGAGAAGGGGACGACAGAGGATGAGATTGTTGGATGGCATCACCGACTCAATGGACAGGAGTTTGGGTAAACTCTGGGAGTTGGTGATGGACAGGGGAGGCCTGCGGTTCATGGGGTCACAAAGAATTGGACACGGCTGAGCGACTGAACAGAACTGAACTGAAAGATTATGAGCTTCCTTGGTGGCTCAGTGCTAAAGAATCTGCCTGCCAATGCAGGAGGCATGGGTTTGATCCCTGGGTCGGGAAGATCCCCTGGATGAGGAAATGGCAACCCACTCCAGTATTCTTGCCTGGAGAATCCCATGGACAGAGGAGCCTGGTGGGCTACAGTCATGGGGTCCCAAAGAGTCAGACACAACTTAGTGACTAAACGAACAGCAACTGAAGATTATAAAAACTTACATTGCTATGTATTTTGTATTTTACAGAGTTTTTTTTTTTAAACTGTTCCTTTTGTTACTGAAGAAAAATTGTTTTGTTTAATGCCGGCCTGCTTTATTTATGGGGAGAGGTAAAGACTAGGGCCATGTTTCGGGTATAAAGTTAGAGCACATGGGCCCCCCACGTCCGGGCCCTGGGTGTGATGTTGGCCGCAGTTTTCAGACCGTGAGTGAGGAGGGCCTCGGGGAAGGGGGAGCAGGGAGTTAGCCCCGGTTCGACTGGTCCGCTGTCTGGAGGTGCTGAGACAGAGCCGTCTGGGGTTTTTATCTTCTGTGTTTGAGAAAGGTGAGTCTGTTCCGTTTCCTTATGCTTTGTTTGCCAGCTGCCCGTCCTGCTCTGGTGTTGGGAAAGTCTGTGATGCCTTGAGGAGGAGCTTCGTCAGAACCGTTTCTCCTTTCGGGTCCTGCCTCTATTCTCTTGTGTTGTCCTGAGTCCCACGCTGAAGGCGGCTTCCCCACCCTGAAGGCAGCTTCTGTGAACATCTCTTTTGAGGCCGGCTGCAGAGAGGTTTTCCTAAACCTCATTCTGAATGCTCGGAGTTGAGCCCTTGGTGACAGAGACCTGCCCTCAGTGAGAAAGCGCCCCCTGCCGCGGGGGCCCTTCCCGTCTTTCCCGCCCCTCGCTCCCCGTGGCTCCGAGAGGCGGCAGCGCGAGGCCTCTCTGAGAGCCGGGGCCCTTCCCGTCTTTCCCGCCCCTCGCTCCCCGTGGCTCCCCGTGGCTCTGAGAGGCGGCCGCGCGACGCCTCTCAGAGCCGGGGCCCTTCCCGTCTTTCCCGCCCCTCGCTCCCCGTGGCTCCCGGTGGCTCTGAGAGGCAGCAGCGCGACGCCTCTCTGAGAGCCGGGGCCCTTCCCGTCTTTCCCGCCCCTCGCTCCCCGTGGCTCCCGGTGGCTCTGACGGGCGGCAGCGCGACGCCTCTCAGAGCTGAGGTGGGAGGAGGGTTCCCGCGCCGCCCGGCTCTCAGAGCGGCTCTGTCCAAGGCTGGAGCCCCCGGCCACACGCGGACGTAGAACAGGTGTAAACGAAACAGCACTGCATGAGATCACAAGCTCAGGCCCTTCCCGCTCTGGTCCCGGTTCAGATCCCCAGTGGTCTCGTGAGACGAGTGCTTACTGTGCTGCACAGCAGAGAGAGAAAACATGTCGGTCACCGCAGAAGGTTCTCCGTGGAGTGTTCCTTGTGCTTTGTCCTGCAGCAGCGGGGATACCAGCGTCTTCTCTTGGGTTTGAAGCTCACCTGGCTCACTGTTCTGAGGCCTTTGGCAGTCAGGTTATGCCCGCAAATCAGGAATCACCTGCTCCCCCTACAGAAGGACTTGAGGGCGGCGTCAGGCAGGCCGGCCTGTCCTGGAAGGGCTCCCTGATGGCGCTGGAAATGCTCGCTGCTGGTTCTCCGCTGCTGCTGTAAGAAATGACCACACACACAGCAGCTTAAAACAGCACAGATCTGTTACCTCATGGCTTACTAGTCAGAAGGTCAACACAGGTCCCATCAGACTAGAATCATCTGGCCTGTGTTCCTTTCTGGCAAATTGAGATATTTTCTCTTCTCTTCAGGGTTTTGAGGAAATTCGGTTCCTTAAGTTGGTAGGTCTGAAGATCCAACATCTTGCTAGCAGCTCTAGAAGCTGCCCACATTCCTTGGCCCCTGGCCCTCTTCCTCCAGACACAAAGCCAGAGAAGGCAGGTGGAACCTCTTTCACAGTTTAAATGTCCTCTACATCTTCTTCTATCACATCTCTGACTTTAGCTGGTAGAGGCTCTCTGTTGCTCTGACTAATCTAGGACAGGCACCTTATCTCAGCATCCTTAACTTTAATCTTATCCGCAAAATCTCTTTTGCCATATAAGGTGGCAAATGAGAGCATAGATATCCTTAGGAGTGGTGGTATTCGGTCTACCAGATGCATCCAAATTAATTCTTTGCATGTTATTAAGCAAAAATAGCTTATTTGAGATATAGTTTATTTGAGGAAGATAATTAAGAGCCTGCCATCTTTATCCACCTTGATAAAATATTGTCAAAATATCTCTGAATTAACAATTTGCTCATATTTTATCTTTTTTTAAAAAAGAAAGCCTGTACAAAAATGGTATTATCATGAAGATAAATATCTGAAATCAATGTTAAAGAAAATAATCCTGTCAAATTGTAGGTAATTAATGTGATTGACTTAACAGCTTTCCCACATTTTAGAATGCTAGCTTTTGATTTTTATGATGCCTCAATAAAATCTGCTTGATTTTAATGTTTGTTGCCATTCATTTGTTCATCTTAGATTTCTGACTAATTTCTTATTTATTGTTAAAATATTATGTAACCATTTAGCTTAATCTAATGATTCTAGACTATAGTCTATTATTCAGTGCAGTGATACTCTTAATCAATTGTTCTTAATAGTTTTTGAGGCTGTAGTAGTTATCTTTCTCACCTTTCATTTTATTTTCCTCATTAGCTAAGAAACCTTTCCAGCTTGGACCTACGTCATATCACTGAACTGGATAATGAAACCGTGATGGAAATTGTCAAGAGGTGCAAAAATCTTAGCTCTCTCAATCTCTGCCTGAACTGGATTATAAATGACAGGTAACCACCTTAACATCTTAAAAACACTTTTTCAAAGGGAAGCATGTGTTCTGTGTACCAAGTACTGATTATCATTATAATAAGGCATGTCTACTCTAAGGAAAATGTGATATAGCCGTGACTTTTAAAATAGGTATTTTTAAGTTTTGAAAAACATTTAGAAGTATACTTTCACCCATTCAGTTTCGGGGCTTCCCTAACGGCTCGGGCAATAAAGAATCTGCCTGAAAGAGGAGACCCGGATTTGATCCCTGGGTGTGGAAGATCCACTGGAATAGGAAATAGCTACCCACTCTAGTATTCTTGCCTGGAAAACTCCATGGACAGAGGAGTCTGGTGGGCTATAGTCCATGGGGTTGCAAACAGTTGGACACTACTGAGTGACTCTCACTTGTTTATATTTGCAGCAGAGTTTATGTGCTAAGATTCATATGTTTGCCTAAACAGTTATAACAACAGAAGTCTATTGAATCTTGTCTTTGTCACTCATCCAAAACATTGTTTATTTGTCACTTTAATATTTTTGCAACTTTTTGTGGTTGATTTTACTGTTCATTTATCAAAGAAAATGGTCCTGAGAAACTATTTCAAACATTATGCATTCAGATCTTTTCTCTAGGATGACATTTTGATTTCTGTATAAATAGAATTTGTTTTGAACATTAAGGTCATGTGATGGATAGTTTAATACGTAGTGTAAAGATGTGTAAAATGTTTTAAAAATAAGCGTTTTAAAATGTTTTAAAAATAGATTTAAAAATAAGCAGTGATAATTGATAGGTTAATTTTTCTGTGAAATATTGCATGAGGAGGAAAAAAATGCAAGAACCCTTGAAAATAGACTTCTTTGTAATGAAAACAACTGCGGAGTACCACTATTCTGTGCTTACTCTATGCTTGTCCGACTCTTTGTCACACCATGGACTGTATAGCCCGCCAGGCTTCTCTGTCCATGGGATTCTCCAGGCAAGAATACTGGAGTGGGTTGCCACGCCCTCCTCCAGGGGATCTTCCTGACCCAGGAATCGAACCCAGGTCTCCTGCATTACAGATGGATTCTTTACCATCTGAGCCACAGGGAGTTCTACTGCTGATTAGTTTAGGTGGGTTCTTAAATATAGGCATGAGATAAGGTGCTTGCTCAGTAGCTTTTAAAGAATAAATAAGTTTTTAAAAATGTCACCAAAAATATATTGCTTTCAAAATAGAAAGCACTATTTCAGCTAAAATTAGAACCTATTTAGATTTAAATTTTTTTTTGTAAAATAGAGCAGTGATTTATAAAGTTTTTGTCAGATGATGCTTTAAATTTAAGACATTTCCCCCTTTCACTTTTAATTTCCTTTTATTCTTTTAACAGTAAAATCATGTAGACGCCAATTTCCCCAAGAATGGCAAATTCTAGTGGTATTCCTATAAATTACCAGCATTACCCTTTAAATTATGTGTGATAGCTTTTGACTTGGCTCTTTCTTAGTAACATTTTCCTTGAAAAATTTACTAATCCAGAAATGATCCATGGTCATCATTTATAAAGGTGTTTATTGTTTCTGAATAATAGTCACTGTGTGAGGTGTATCAAAATCTGAAGAAAATTGATGAATATTTAAAAAATTAAGTTCTTTTCTATAATCTACATTCTTCCACATGATCAATTATGTGACAAGTTTTAAAATAATCTTTTAAATGTTTTCCATAACAACTGATAAAAAAAAGTACATGAAAAACATCCTGTGGTTTTAGGTGTTTAGCATTAGCTTAATATTCAGGTAAACTTCTTAGTAATGCTTCAGAATGAAAGGTGAAAACTGTGCCACAAAATGGATATGAAAACGATTGAGAAGACTCAGGACTTGGAGCCTACAGAGGTAAGTAAGATGCAGTCCATATGTGATCATAAGGGTTGTCTGCTCAGTAAACAGGTTTTGCTTTTGCTTAGATTTATATCATTTACACAAAGATACTCAAGGATTTCTCATCTTCTGGTGCTTCAAATGCTTATGTAGCCATAACTGGGTATTTACACATCAAAAAAGAGCAGCCTTCACCTTGCCTTTCCTTTCCTTTGTTAGGTTCCATCTGCTCAAATCCCTTTCCATAATATTTCAGTCGTTTTTTCCCCCCTATTTAACTATAATGATTATTTGGTGTTTGATCCTAAATGCTGTACTGTAGAGATTTATTTGCAAGGAATGAAAATGTATTTTTATGTTTTTAATGGAAAAGTTTGAATTAATTGAGAAAACATGCATTTTAATGAGGTTGAGCGGTAGAGTTTTAAAGATCAGACTCTTTTAGGTTTTAATTACACTACTTGCACTTATCCTGTGTACTGTAATAGGAGTTTCAAACATTAAAACCCACTTTGCAGTGTCATCTAAATTAGTCAGCTCATTGTTCTTGCCATACCCTATCACTAAGCTAAGTAATATTTGTAATTATATTGGTATAAATCTAGGACTTCCCGTCAGACTTAATTATAATTTTAGCACTTAGCCGGGATGGGTTAGTAACCTTTCCCATGGAGGACACTGGAACGCACTAATGCATTTAGCCTATCAATTAGTGTCTGTTTTACATTTGTTCATTATTATCCTCTAGTAAATCAGGAAGCATTTATTAACCCCCTACTAAATACTTGGTGCTGTGCCTCAGACTGTGGGGCACTGAGTTCCTGCTGAACCCAAAGGTTTTCCTCCTTAAGTGACATAAGACTTAATGAGTGAGATAATAGTGAGCCTTGTAAGGATAGAGGGAAGGAAAGTAACCTTTATTACCCAGGTAATTGATAGGCACTTTACATGTGTTCTCACTTAATCCTTTCAGCATCTTTTGTTCTGCTGAAGCTCATACTATTCCTATTAAATTTAGCCCGTTTGTTTAATTTTTCTTTGGCTTTTCCAGTTGGATGTGTTTTTTCCATCTTTACTGCAGTAAGAATTGGATGGGGACAAACAAGAAAAAGCAAATGGCTGATGAGTCAATTTCCATTTCATAGTTGGAATTCACACACAATTGACATTTATATGTAACATTCTTAGTTTTTTTAAAAAAACGAATCTCATTATTTTCTTTCATAATAAAGTTATAATAGAACCTTTAGATACTATTTTATACCTAATGCCTATGAAAAGGATCTATGTTTAATGCTGCTTGCTTTAATAATGAATTCTTCACATGAAGATAAAGTTTGATACTCTTCTCAGATCTTTAGATATAAGATTTATCCTGGATTTGAAAAGATTTTAACAATAAATATTTTCAAAGTTCAAAATTTTAAAATATTTAGTAACGCAAAGTCTTTACTGTTAAGTGCATGGAACCTTTTAACATTTTTGTGGTTCTTAAATTGATCTGTGTGACTAAGACATGCTGTTCTTTATCTTTGTTTTTTAAAAAGCACTTTTTGTATTTAGAGAGTTAAACAAAGCGTGATATTTTCTTGTGTTCAGAAGGATGGTCTAGTAGTCATTTGACATTTACCATTGCTTTTGAATACAAATAAAATCCAAGTGGTTTATGAAAAGAGGACACTGACTATTTCTATTGATGATTTAAATTAAACATCTGGTTATTATTTCTCCTGTACTCTCTCTGACTGGAAGTTTATTGGAGTGTTTACTTGTATTTGATATAATTATTTTGCTATTTCACATTCAATTTGGTCTTCACTGTTTTTTTTCTTTTCTTTTTTTTAATGTTTGGTATAGAGTCCAGAAGCTGCATGACTTTTGTAAAAAACTAAATGGTTCTTACCTAGCTGGAGACTTATTCTTCGAATTTTCAGTTTAAAACAAAATTGAATGTATTAAATTTGTTGAACACAGATAGCTGAGGACACTTTCTTTAAGGAGTTAATTTGCTGCATGAGTCTTACATTTATGTAAAGGGGGCTGTTGCATCAGTGAACATCCTAAAATTTGAGGAGTTTTAAATCTGAGATTGTTGTGACCTGTTTCTTTTAAGTATAAAATAACATTTGCAATGTGTTACTCTTACTGTTTCTATGTACTAGTGTTTAGAATAGTAACTATAAATGTTTTCTCATTAAATAGACTTTTAAATAACAACATTTTGAAATTGCAAATTGGTGAGCCAGAGTTGAGTCTAATCCACAGAGGTGTTTTGTTTGGCCCATACAATATTTAAAAAATTAAGTAAGTTGCCAACTTTAAAAAATTGGGTTGTTGTAAAAATCTGTATTTGGGCCTTCTTTTGGGAAAGTTGCAGATCTAGTAACATTGGACCCACATTTTCTCATGTCAGCTATCTTTCCAGGATGAGTAATGGGCTTTTCTCATCAGCCATTCTTCAATTTCTCCATTACTCCCACCTAGCATGATCTATTTTATAATATCCACCTGTCCCCACCTAGTCTACAAATTGAATTCTCCCTTATTGAAATTCAGAATGTAAAGATTTTTAGGTACGGATTTCTCGTTTTAAATCAAATAGTTCTTTTTAAATTGAGTCTGATAAAATATATTAACAGATAATAGAGAGTTAATTAGTTTACTTAAATTAGTTCTTCCTTATTTCAGACCTCAGAACTTTGGCCAACAGGTTGAAGTTACAGAGGGAGACAGAATTCAGCTTAAAATAAGTTAAAACCTTGGTTTTCATTGACTGCCTTCCAAGTTAGAGAACTCATTCCCACTTACAGTTCAAACAGGAGGGTTATAAACAAGTTTCCTGAATAGCAGTTGAGCTAGTATACTAAACTACCTCCAACTTCAAGTCTGTGATTCAAAGTGAATTTATTTGCAGTGCTTAGTATTTGATTCACAGTTCCTTTGTTTATAAAATTTTGAAAAGCCTTAAGACTTTTCTTTCTTTCCTCTTTTTTCTTCTCTTTTTCTTTTTCCGCACAGAGCCCTTTTTAGACTTTTAGGAACTCTGAGATTGAAGTCGTGGAGTAACAGATGACTCCACCGCCCCTTTCAGGGAGACTGACAGCGCCCTGGCTCGTGTAAAACTCAATGAGGCTTTCTATAAAGATT